TCAAAATTGTGAAGCATATAACGTTACTGATCGATTGCCTTGTCGTAAAATACGGATCTTATTGATTGCAACACGAATTACATCATGTTCTCCATACATAGATCAAAACTCTGCCAAAAAAGCCTCTAGATTATCCAATATTAGATCTCGTCATTTAAGAAAAGATGAAAACCATGATAGTGCTGAGTCTGATAGAAGCGTACTAATGAATCTAACTTGCGATCCTAGAGTTGAATAGCTTTGGGGTTGAAGTTCAATCACAAGTTACACTTGATTGATAAATCCTCGAAATTTGGATCTGGTGCCATCAAACTTCTCGGGTAGGTCAATTCTTGGTTCTCTAACATTTGAAGGGCGTTCTACCATAGGAAAAATGACATGGTTTGGTGCAGATGTTGAAGCAGCTTCAACCATTTCTATATCTTCACTTCCTGCCAATCTTGTTGCTCCTTGTGGTAGTAAATTGAGTTGATGCATCGCAAGTATTAACTCCCTCAATTGCTCTTGCATTTGTGCCATTGCACTCTTCATTTCAACAAGTTCTGCCATGATAACACTTAGAAGAGAAAAGATGTCTAATATCGCTCAAGACAAATAGAAGAGAAGACTTGAGAACAAAGAAAATACTAAGGACAATATCAGTTTAGAAGAGGGTAATCCGCAACTTCTAATATGCTTATATCTTATCAAGAAAAAGGAGTAATCCACTCTTAATCAAGATTAGACAAAACTCTGATATTGTAGGTGTACTCTTGTCAATCTGTCAAGGACAAGAACTCGATGAAAAAACAATTCAGCTAAGTAAGCCTTCACTCAAAGAGAGGTAACAAAATATATATATAAACAAGGATATATATTGAAAGAGAAACTGGAATGGCTATTGCCAAAAGACAAGAAAACTAGAGACCCTTCAAACTAGACTAGAAACAAGAAAGGAGTTGACAAGAATGAAGAAGCCTTTACTCTTGTCTCTATATATACTATCTAACTAAGAGCTACGTGGCGACGTTCTATAAGACCTCCAATAGGTGTTGACTTTGTAGGGCACATGCCTTGACTTAGAAGGCAAATTTTTCTTCGTGTAGGCCACATAGTTAGCTTGATCTTCAAGCTAACAACATGTGTGGCACATGGCCAACTTGTTGACCACGTTTCTAATCCAAAAAGTCAATTAAAGACACCTATGAAGTCAAAGGAGCGTCTATAAAGCTTCTAGTAAGCTTCCATATTAAATACTATAGAATTAACTTACTTTTACCTACTTTTATTTACTTCTACCTATTTGTATATATAATTACTAGCTTACATGATTATGTCCGTGACACTTAAATGCTATAAGTTAATCACCAAATGGTATTAAAGAATTTGTAGAAGTTATTCCACCAAATTAAACTTGAAATTTTCTAAAGAATCATGGACTTTGAGAAATTATGATTCTATTAATCTTTGGAGATTTTAGTAATTCTAAAAAGTTAAGAGAATGCTAAAAGTCAATGTTTTCTTTTGAAAATACAAGCTTAAACCTATCCAATAGAAGAAAAAAAAAGATAATAGGAAGAAAAAAAATTAAAATAAATAATTAATAATTAATACCAATGTGATTATTTTATCATCAGAAGAAATTTAATATTAAGCCTTTAGATCTTATATATCTTTTAAATTACTATAATTGCCAATTTTTTATACTAACACTAATTTTTATTTATTTAAAAGCTTCTAAACGAACTAACATCTAATAATTACAATTTGGTACTTTAAATGAATATTTTTATTCTAAATCAACTAATGAGTTGATTTAATGATTCATACTAGTCAAAAATCTTATAAATATAGTAAAAAATGTTGACACTTTTTATCAACAACATCTATCCAAATCTAGATGAAGAATAGCAAATCTCTGCTATAAAATAAATACAATTTAGAAAAGATTGCATTCTACCTTCTATTCTTATTTTTAATTTTTGTGATTTATAGCATTATGAAGAAAGAGAATCAACAACCAATAAATTCAACTTAAGAGCTATTATTTATTGAGTTACAAGATAAGATATTGCAACCATCACAATCTTCAAGACAATGCAATAGAAATGAAGACCTTCAAGAATGACATGTGCTTTTTTGAATAAATGGTAAAATACAATGTGCCTAGTATGACAATTTTTGAAGAGACTCTTAATACTTGGTAATATTATTAGAGGTAGGAACCACCTCCAACAATATTTTATATATTTTATTTGAAGAAAGTTATCAAGACCTCAACAATGATCAAATAGCAAGATAGTCGTTTTGCCTTGCTATGGAATACTATTAATGGCTACAAAGACCTACCAACTACCTTTGAAAGAAATAAGGATCAAAGTTTGTAGCAAACATAATTTATTACATCTTAGACTTCTTCAATATATGTCAAGGACAAGAACTCAATGAAAAAATAATTCAAACAAGTGAGCCTTCACTCAAAGAGAGGTAACAAAATATATATAAACAAGTATATATATTGAAAGAGAAACTTGAATGGCTATTGCCAAAAGACAAGAAAACTAGAGACCCTTGAAACTATAGTAGAAGCAAGAAAGGAGTTGACAAGAGTGAAGAAGCCTTCACTCTTGTCTCTATATATACTATCTAACTAAGGGCTACGTGGCGACGTTCTATAGGACCTCCAATATGTGTTAACTTTGTAGGACACATGCCTTGACTTACAAGGCAAGTTCTTCTACGTGTGGGCCACATAGTTAGCTTGATCTTCAAGCTAACAACATGTGTGGCACATGGCCAACTTGTTCACGTTTCTAATCCAAAAAGTCAATTAAAGACACCTATGAAGTCAAAGCGGCGTCTATGAAGCTTCTAGGAAGCTTCCATATTAAATACTATAGAATTAACTTACTTTTATCTACTTTTACTTACTTCTACCTATTTGTATATATAATTACTAGCTTACATGATTATGTCCGTGACAATATATGATTATCACTCCTTATAGAATTTGTCTCTATAAGGAGAAGTAATGTCACAAACATATAAATTTATCTATATAACAAGTGTTAGATATAAAATAAATGTAAGTAGATATGATAATATCTTATGAGAAAGCTTTTTAGAAGCTTTATAGATACATATTTGACTTTAGATGTTTTTGCAATTGATTGGTAATTTAAAAACTTAGCCAATAAGTTAGCTATATATTACATATGTTAGTAGCTTATAGAACAAGTTAATTATGTGGCGCACATATAGGAAACTTGTCTTGTAAATTAAACATGTATTTCACAAGTTGGACATGTGTTAAAGGACCTATAGAACAATGTCACATAGCTTCTAATTAGATAGTATATATGGAGACAAGACTGAAGCTTTCTTCAGTCTTGTCAACACCTTTTTAGTCCTTAGTCTTGTTTCAAGACTTTTTAATCTTTTTATCTTTGACAATAGCCATTTTAATTTAATATCATACCATTTTTGAATAATTTTCTAGTCTTTTTGAATAACATAAGAGTGTATTGAACTTTTAGTTCTTTGAAATTCATGTCTTTAACAAAAAATAAAAAAATAAAAAAATAATAATAATAATATCATTGATATACATATTTATCTAGATAAGAAGTACTAGGTAGAAAGTAAATGTAAGTAGATTTGATATTATCCTATGACATAGTTTCTTAGAAACTTCACAAACATATATTTGCCTTTATGCATGTTTATAGTTGATTAGTAAGTTAGAAACTTTGCCAACAAATTAATCATGTATCACACATGCTAATAACTTGTGGTATAAGCTAATGATGTGGCATGCATATAAGAAACTTATCTTGCAAGTTAAGACATGTATCTTACAAATTAAATACTTATTAGAAGTTCTATAGAATATTACCATGTAGCTTCTAGTTCAATAGTGTATATGGAGGCAAAAGTAAAGCCTTCTTCACTCTTGTCAATGTCTTTCTAGTCTTTAGGCTTGTTTCAAGACTTTCTCATCTTCTTGTCTTTGGCAATAGCCATTCTAATTCAAAATATTACCATGTTTGAGTGATTTTATAGACTTTTTGAGTAATATAAGAATATATTGAAATTTTCTTTCTTTAAAATTCATATCTTTGATAATCACTTATAAAGAATGCTCATATTGTAAAATACTCTAAAAATTTAAAGAATCTTCTATAGAAATTTCCACATGACTAAGGAAAGCCAATAAAAAAATTAATAATAACAATAAAAAGTTTCTAAAAGATTCTTATAGATCCATGAAAATTGTACAAATTTCTAAAAAATACTAAAAGGTTCTAGAAAGTTGTACAAAGCACTTAAGACTATATGTTGTTATATACTTGTTATATTTTTTCTATTTAGAGTAAAATTTATTATATTTGAATTCTTTATATATTATTTATTACTGCAAATAAGAGTTATTGTTGGAGCATATTTTCAATTTAGTATTTATAAATGAACTATAGGATTTGATAGTAGATTCTAATTTTTTACTGAATTATAAATGTTTCAAATAATATTCCATTACAACTCTAGTAATAATTTCAAAACTAAATACAAATTGATTGGCTAATTTATTATTTTATAAACTTTAGTTCTATTTAAAGACCAATTAACTTGCATGAAGTTTAAACACACAATGTTATTATTTTCTCAAGTCATATTATTATTATAATTACTTTTCTTAAGTCCTAATTAATGTTCATAATTAAAAAGTAACAATATTAATGTACAGATATTTTATTTTTGTATATACTAAGAAAATTTGTAATATTTTTTTACAACATCAATTAATATTTTTGATAACCATACTAGAGATTATACAAAAAAAAAAAAAAAAAAAAAAAAAAAATCTTAAACACCACATGAATTGGAAATATAACACACACCGCCTTGTCAAAATAACAAAACATATTTTCCAGAAAAATAGAACAAGAAACAAATAAACTTGATGCCTCAAAAAAATATATATATCTATACACACACTTGCATAAATACTTACATACATGTAAAGACTAAAAGCAAATTCACTGATTAATAGTTGCAAATGTGTATCTTGTGTTTTTTGTTGATTATTCAAAACTATTGGTCTTGTTGACTGAGACCAATTCAGGGTTCAAAGATAAGATGCAATAGGGATACCAAGAGCTCAATCTACAGAGGCTAAGTTGGAATTTTAATCTGATAAAGATAGAGAAGCTAATTCAAAAACCTCCCTCTTCCCATTGTATGTTTAGCACTGAAACATAGGGAAGCACAAATGAATCCACTGCTGCAGCACAAGGTTGTGACCATCTTGTAAGGCAGAAATCTTCCAAGCACAATGGTGTTATCCCTGGCTATGCAGATGTGAGGCCTGTGTGCAATGCAGCTATGGCCAAAATGTATGCAACCACATATGCAGCAGCTACAATACTGGGCTCTTTCCATCCTATCAGTTCCAAGTGATGGTGAAAGGGTGCCATCCTTAGCACCCGACGTCCCTTGCCTTCCAATCGCTTTGTAAGCTTGAAGAATGATACCTGCACATGTGATACACAGGTACATGAGTTTTTACAATCCGATCCATCTCAGCACAAGATCATTACGAACGCTGTTCTGTTGGTATCCAATAGGGACAAATTGGTTCAACCCAAGTGTGTCCGAGTTCCAACAATTGCAATCAAGGAAGACATTGCAATTGTATGAGAGGTGTTTGTTACCGTTACAAAATGCTTCAATACACAACCACTAGAGTGACAGATTTCTCAAAACTCAATAAAGATTTAATTTGAATCAGATCAATTTCAATCGCTTCAGGGCAGCACAAGCTTGAGATTGATTTCCTATTACAAGTGGTATCTACAAGGGAAAGATACAGTACCTGTACTATAACAGAGACCGTTTCTATGATGAATACCCCTGAGGCGATGAACAATGGCAGGAACATACCCGTGCAACTCGCCATGGCTGCTAAGCCTCCTCCAAGTGCTAGAGAACCAGTATTTCCCATAAATACCTTTGCCTTATACTTGTTTTGTGTCAAAAATCCCATGCATGCCCCTGCCATTGATACTCCAAAAACACCTAGACCTGTATGTATATTGTGTTACATATATTTCAAAAACTTAAAGGAATACAGAAGAGACAAAACCTCATTTGATTTCTCAGCCTCTGAAAAATTGCAGCAACAACATATGTATAATGAAGTCACAGAACCATTACCAGGATAGATAGGGAGAACAGCAATAGCCATCCCGATGTATGCAGCAGCTGACGTGCCCGCAGCCAAACCATCTAACCCATCCGTCAGATTAACTCCATTACTCATTGCAGCAAAGCAGAAGGCCGTCAATGGTAAATACCAATTACCTAGATAAAGAAGCCCAAAAGGAGCTGGCAAAGGGACCAACCTATTCCTGCAATTATAGCAGTACAAAATATCAGTTTTCTGATCACCAAACTTTCGAATTGCAGCAATGACTTCAAAACTTGAGAGGAAGTGAAGGATATTCTTTCATGTGCACTGCTTAAGAACAAACATCGAAATTCATTAAAACTTTATCAATAGCCAGGAAAACTTGGAGAATCCATGAACGAAGGGTATAGTACCCCGGTGAAACGGGGGCACCCACACATTTTATAAGGGGACCGTAGGCTTGCATTGTCGAGCCAGAATACAAAACACACACCAACAGCAACCTGTGTTCATCAATCACCAGTCTTTAATGCTACGAACATATTAACCGAGAGAAGATATTACATTTCAAACTCCTTTATGATTCACATTAAGACAAATGTATGATGTCATACTGGTACATTAAATTTCAAAAGACAAACTTCCATTACAATGACAATCGAAGAATGATGATTACCTGCAATAAAAACTTCAATGATCCTCGCATGCCGTAGTTGTGCTTCCGCAAAAGCACAAACCAATCATCTAAAAATCCAATTGCTGCAAAAGCCAGTGTTGCGACACACACTCCCCACAGCTCTGTGGACCAATATCCAGTAACCAGTCTTGCGACCCCTACACCTATCGGAACAAAATACAAACCCCCCATGGTTGGGGTGCCAACTTTGCTCTGATGAGCGGCAGGACCCTCTATCCGGAACACTTGGTGAGCTTTTAATCTTTCCAACAATGGCACACAGATGGTACCGAAATATGCTGACGCAGCTGCTGCTACACAGAAGGGAACCGTGAGAAAATAATGTGCCAGGGGCTTCCGTATAACTTTCCATATGTACGAGTCTATAATAAGCACAGTCCCAGTTAAAGCCACGGACAAAACAGTAGTTACGAGAAGTCCTTTCCCAATCCTGCAGTGGCCAAAACAGTCACCAAAACGTTGCAAATCAGAATGATGAGCACTTTACGTAGCAACCAAAATCATGCAATTAGCATGTGGAAGCTAAACGCTCCTCAATGTACAAAAATGTTACGTCATTTCATTCGCACCTTCTAGGAAAGTCGTGGTTTTTAAGAGAAGATGACTTGATTAAAGGCGCAACTACGTCAATTTTTTTTGTGTCAAATTTGTCGCTGTCATCAAATAAGTCAAAATACACATCCCGTTCCGATTCAGATCCAGATCCTGAACTGTACCCGCTGCGTGTTTCACGAGGTGATCCACCGGATGATGCCTCTCCATCGGAATACGAATACTGCTCTCCTGATGAAAAATAATCTCCGCCGTAATCCCCTCCATAATCTCCACCCTGAGAGGTAAGCATCACAGACGTGAATGAACGCTGCCAATGAAAGACCTGGTAGGTAAATCTATAATTGCTGGTTGACAAAACTATGTATCTCACTTGCATGCTTGGGAACAGTTTATTAGCTCACATCATCAGTACAGGAGACGTCGATTGACAAGCGCGTCCTCCTTTGAATACCACATTCAACAAACTTGCAGCAATGTGAAAACATCGGCAGATTTGAAGGACATCTTTTCTGCAAAATACACAGGATTAGTCCAACTTAAAGCCTACCAAGACCATGACTAATCCTGAATTATACCTGGATTACAGTATTTAAAGCCAATAGATTCAACTTGGGTTTCTATGATCTGAACAACATCGATTGCTACTGAATTGATAATCAACAGCAGGGTGGAGATTAAAATTCCATCAAAGCCAGTGGTAAGGATAAACCTTCAGTAGAGAATTTTGTGACGACCACGGCAGCAAACATTTGTAACCAGAGCTTGTAGCACTGGCTTTAGTCCTCAAAACTAGAAGATGTTTATCCATGTCACATTTGCTTCGGTCTAGTACCTGATGCATGAGAAACGAAGCCATCTTGAGCAGTGTTCACGAAGGTAATTTTTGCAAGCCTCTGTCCAACGACTAGTCGCCTACCAGCCAGAACAGCACGTAAACAAGAACACCAAAGAAAATTCGGAGAGAGTGTCAAACAAATAGTACCTGACATTGAGCTCCACCTCTTACAACTGGGCCATGACATGGCTCAACAGCGAAATCCCCATGGCTACGACCTGCGATGCACAAAACACCTTGCAAGGCATTAACAATCGTAATTCCGCAGAGAACCCAACAACCAAAACCCTATTCTTGAACGCGATTTTACAGCACACAATGAGAGCAAACAAAACTGCGCCAAGGAAATAACAAAAACAAATTGAGCAATCCGGGAAAAAAAAGAATAAGATAATTGAAAATGTTGCGAGAAATACCCACCAGGGTGAGAGCAGACAAGTTGTGGGGAGGCATGAAATTGGCCATGTCCTCTAGAGGTGGAACAGGGATCAATAGAGGTGCGAAAAACAAGCGTCTCCATCACATTTCTAGGCAATCACCCTCTCCCTTGTCTCAGAACAATATAGGTTTAGTCACTCATGGTGCGGCTCATTGAACCTCGATCTGTGCTACCATCCCAAGCCCGATTGGAGTATAAGTGAATTTAATCAACTGATGAGTGAGCACAACTCGAAGATTGTGTCAAGTCACAGTGGGCTTGTTTGTCGCTCGAGGTTGAGCGCAACACTCGTAAAAATCGAAAAAGATGCTGCTCTTTCCGTTTTTCGTTACAACTATCCCCGCTTCAACTGACCACGCTTCATCGACCTTTCTAAATTCTGAAACAAACTTCTAATCCGGAGGTGAGAATATTCCATCCTCAAGGCCGACTTCAATACACTTCATGAAGGATCAATGCTCGTTTTCTGGTTCTTTTCATTACAGAATAATAACACAAAATTACTGTTTAACTACAATTAGTGTCCGTAAGAAAAGTTTTACTCTTAGTTAAGATTTGATTACCGTCTGGAGTAGGTGAACAATCTGGCAACATTCAAACACGGGTGTCGTAATTGACCTTGGCCGCATGGCGTATTGATTGAGTCGCAGGGTGCTGTCAAATGTCCATTTAGTTTCAGCATCTTCACACAGAACTCATGACATAATTTTTTTGAGGATTGGAGCTTGTAAACTGGCCACTGTGCAAAGCTCATTAGGTCATCTGGCGTGAAGCAAACAAAGAAACGGCGAAGACGTGGTCCAATCCTGCCGTGACTGCCACTCACGTCTTTCAAGGTTGCGGCAATTCGAACTTGGAGAGAGGGAGGACCAAGGAGTTGATTTCATGACCTGGTTTGAGTAACTAATTGATGGAGACAATCCTCCTCCGCACCTCCACCTCTCTTCTTTGCCATGGCCCTTCTCTCGCCTCTCATCGATTTGCAACCTCTCACTCTTGCTGCTCTGGTTCTGGTGGGTTCTACTTAATTCTTTTGTTCTCTGCGTGTGTCTCTTCTGGGGAGGTTTTCTTTTACAATGTGGCACGGTTATGGTTTTCTCGTTTTGAAACTAATTTTTTTGTTTCAAGAAATAGGGTTATGTTACTGGGTCACTAGTTTGTTATCGAAACAGAATTGTTGGTTGTGGTGGATATGCATGCCTAGTGCTCAAAGCTTTTTTTTCATTTCGCAGGTCGTAGCTGTGGGGATCTGGCTGTTGAGCTATGTCGTGGACTGGTTGCACGAACTGGAGCTCGGCGCCGGGTATGCACTGTTGCTGTGTTATGCTTTTCTAATTTGAGTTGGTTCCGGTTTTGCTTGTAGCTCTAGCTGGGAGCAATGTAGTCGTGGGAAGAAGGCTAACAACCGATGGCTGCCTAAAGCAATTACGTAAACCTAAGCCTCGCTTCCTCATCAACTATGTATCAAGAGAAGATGTTTTATTTGGGTCCGATCGGATCCCACGAAATTCCTCTTACAAGAGCATTGGGGGATTTGAATTGCATTGCATTAGCGATCGACCTAATTGTAGGTATAGAAGATCCAAAAGCTTTTAGTCTGGCGGTAAAATTGATATGATTTAAGATAATTTGGAGTTGCTGATGTGACCCTGATACACTTGCATTGTTTGCTTTCAGCAGTATTGGATATGTTCCTTTCATGGAGGACCCATCTTCGTTAGACCGGGTAAGTTGGACAAAATGCAAGCTCATAAACAAAATCGCATTTTAATTCTAACTAATGGAATATCTTGAAATGTGCTCCCTACGACTTCACCATATCTCTTTATTGATATGTCTTCGCTGCAGGCGCAATTTCCATCGGTGTTTGATAAATCTACCAAGTACCTATCTTTGATCATGCCTGCTTTCAATGAGCAAAACAGAATTCGTAGCACGCTTGATGAAACCTTCAGGTACAGAAAATTCTGTCAATTCGAAACGAACGACAGTGTCCTCTTGAATTTTCTCATTCTTCTGTTCTGAATCTACACCCTTTATCACATCTCTTGTGGTTAATAATTTTTTTCATATGTTGAGTTCTTTGACCGGCTCTGTATGTCATCATCTTGTAATAATTCCACCATCACTTGCTCAAAGTGCAACATCCTTGATTTGTTAGCATTGATTAGTCAACTATTGACAGAGACTTGAGCTAGAGTTTGTTCTTCACCTGCTAATTTGGTCCATTTTATGAGCGTGGGACTTGCTTAATTGAATAAGCCCGAGCTTTGGTTTACCGTCGTCACACAACTACAGCTTCATGTTCATTCTGGACAGCATTTTTCCCTTGTTTTCACACCCCCCTCCCCACTTTTCTTGAACTTGAATTTATCCTCGTCGATGCAGTTATTTACAAGAGCGTGTAAAGAAAGATAAGTCCTTTACATATGAGGTGAGACTTGCTTCTCCGTGTTGGAATTTACAGGTGCAGGTGATTCTGGTTTGCAATTTGAATTGGACATGAAGTGGATGAGACCTTGGACATGATATAGAGACTGTTTAAGTTTAAGATCATTTGCTTGACAGGGGAGATCAATTTTTGGGGGATGTTTGTAGATTATAATAGTGGACGATGGCAGCAAAGACAACACTACAAAGATTGGGTTTGAGTACATTAACAAGTATGGGCTGGATGTGATTCGCATACTGAAGCAAGGTGTAAACCAGGGTAAAGGGGCTGCTGTTCGCAAGGTGATGCCTTGTGCGAGCGTTTTACTAATACTCAAAAGCCTACGGAAAAAATATAGCGTTGTCATGGTTTACCTTAGCGATTCACATTTAACGATTGGAACTGATGTTAAATTAGGACTTAGTCTGATTTATCATTCATACCCTTCAAAGATGAGAAGAAATTTTAGCGATTTCATGTGTTCATTTCAATTTTGTGTCGAATGAATCTAGCACCTTTTCGTCTCAAGCTTTCTGCCATCTACGCAACACCCTTTGGAAGTCGAGCTCGGAATGTGTAGAAAAAGCATATGACAGGGGTACAGGGCTGGTGTTACCAGCTTAACTATTTTATCTTGTTTTGTTTTATTTCATTTGGTCTTGTTGGGTGGTTGCAGGGAATGTTATGCTCGCGAGGGCAACTGCTTCTGATGCTGGACGCTGATGGGGCTAGCAGGATAACTGATCTTGAAAAGCTAGAAGCGCAAGTGAGTTGTCATGGTGATTTGTGTAATGCTTACGCCGCCGTTTGTGGAGACTGGACTCACCTGCAATTTAGCGCTTCATATGACACTGGTTGTTAGGTTGTGCGAATTGAATACCTCTCGAACCACAATGCAAACTTACTGCAAACCCTAATTTGTTGCTTGATAATGTGGAACAGATAGCGAATGGTGTGCAAAAGCATCAAGCTTCGTCGAAGCAAAACTTAACTTCCAAGCTTGATGTTGGAAGTGTTCCTGTAGTTGCCTTTGGTTCCCGCGCTCATCTGGAAAAGCAGGCCCTGGCCACTGTAAGTTATAAATATGATCATGTATGCCTCATAAGAGTGTTTTTTTTCTTAGACCATTGGGTTTCTTAAGGGTAGTCTGCTTCTGTGATGTTTTCATTTCTGAAGTTGGGTTTTCTCTGCTTCGAATGGTTGCTATTTTAGGAGTACATGAAACTCAAAATAGTGCATTCTAGCTAGGCAGCTGAATTTATGGTTCCGACTGTGTTGTTGATTAGCGCAAGTGGTATCGGAATCTGCTGATGAAGGCTTTTCACCTATGCGTACTTCTCGTTGCTGGCCCTGGGGTTAGAGATACTCAGGTTGCTCAAAACCTAATCCCACAACTTTCCGGAATTTAATATTTTTCAGCGAATGATTTTGATTATTGTTGAAGCTTGGCATTTGGTTACATCTAGTAAGCCAGGCAAGCTGAGATTATTATTTGAGTGTATATTTTGATCTGTCCTCACGGTTTGATTGGGGTGGTGTGATCAGTGTGGATTCAAGATGTTTACTCGATCTGCAGCTCAGCAGTTGTTCCCTAATCTCCGTTTGAAAAGGTGCTTGTTTGTTTCTGCTGTTATGAACGCAGGATGTTTTTACAGTTGGTCGGTAGAATATTAATATTTAGGGTTTTTTCTGATTTTCGTAACTGAAACACATCCGCTGATAGTGAGGTGTTGTTGCAGATGGTGCTTCGATGTGGAACTTGTCTACTTGTGCAAGAGGTTGCGTATTCCAGTGTCTGAAGTATCTATTACTTGGGCTGAGATTCCAGGATCAAAAGTTCGATTTTACAGCTTTGTACACATGCTTCTGGAGCTCGTTCTTGTACGTTTGGGTTATGGCTTTCACATATGGAAAATTCATACAAATTCTTCTAAATCCACGTAAAAAGAGCTTTGTCCACGTATTGCAGCCTCGATGACCAGCAGGTATTGCTATGACCTTGATAATTAATTATGTAGAGAATGATTATTCTTATTCTGGTCATGTTAATCACAAGCTGGTTATCTTGCATGTGATTATTTCTGCTTTGAGAAACTGTTGATTAGAAAATCTAGAGACAGTTTAGACTGAGCCTGCTTGCTTTTGGTTTATTCTTCTGTCATAACATGTAAGAAGGATATATCAACAGTACTTTGAAGATTTTGTAATAGAGCAACTTAGATTTGCTTGTCTAAGATTCTGGTTGCACTGGTACGGTGTTTCAGAACCACTCTTTTGACACTGCTTAGGTTGATCCAAGTTGTAGGCTCATTTGGATCAAAGCCCAGGTGCAAGTCTTAGAGTGACCTGGAGTGGTGGGTGTACATTAGAAGTTGCAGATTGGGCACGAAGTCCATCATTTTTATTTTTTTGAGATTTTTTCCTATTTGTATGTTGAACGTGATAATAAAAGGCTTGTTAAACTAAAAAAATTGAAGCATGATTCACGAGAGGATAGGTCATTGTGATCATTTGTAGATTTTGCTATTGAAATGAAATAGGTAGAAATTATATATAATGTTACAAAATTGTTATGCTAGAAAGGTAATAATATCAAAATTGTTAAATAATTGACTAAATATCGTAGATGTTTTGTGAGAAGAAATATAACCAATATTGTTTAAGAAAAGATTAGGGCAGTATAAAGTTAAATTATGTAAACAATATTTTCAAATAATTCTATTCATTTCTTAATTTATGTCATCAATGTGCAATGCCAAAAATCAAAAATTATTTGTTTATTTTAAACTTTATGAAGAAACCCTTGTAACATTTTGTTCTCCCTCTCCTTCTATTGTCCACACTTGTGCTCCTCAAAGGATTTCCATAAGCTTTTTTTTTAGTGCCTCCCATGGCTTTACAATCACAGCGGCTTTGCCGACATGGGCTCAATTTGTTCATTGATAACGCTGATCACTCTTGCTTTCTCCTCCAACTGCAGTTTATAAGATATTGAGGTGTTTGGTCATCTCACCACAATATTTTGCTACTTCCATCACAACTTATTCTTATTAACTTTTTACTTATTATATTATTAAATTCTACAATTTTTTAAGAAAAACTGTGTTAGAAATAGTATTATATATTAATTAATTTTAAAAATATGTTGAATGGGTGGTGAGTTCTTATGGCAATAACAAGAAATGTGATATGTGGTGAATGGTAAATTGTGGTAGCAATAGCAAAAAATATGGTGGCATTAGCAATACCCTATATATGTCTAAAATTCACATGACCCTTAATTCCAAAACCTATCTAGACATAACCATGATCTACCTTGAATTTGATTCCAAGTAAATGTTCTTTAGTATATAAAAGCTTTACTTTGTAATGAATCTCTGCAAAAAAATAAAAATTAATAGACATTATAATTCTTCATTTGTAGAGAAGAAATTTGGAGCAAGGAGGGAACATGACAAACCCAAAGGAGCTCCTCATTTTGCAACAAATAATACAATGAGTGTTTGTGAAATAATATATATTTGTATATATATACATGGAATTGTTAAATTGACCCAAGCATTTACAAACTGACCCACCCATCATCACTTATAGAGGATCCAACTATTTTTTCATTGATTTTTGGTCAATGCAGATCCAACAGTGGAGATTTTTTTTGTTGATGATAGACAAGATGGGTGGGTCAATTTAACAATTCTATATATATATATATATATATATATATATTATATTCATAAAATGGTATTTATGATAGTATGTATACATCATTAATGATAGAATAGCAGCCATTACATGAGCCAAAATGTAATGAACGTTGAGGTGACGTGGCACAGTGTGGGTGTGCGCGTGATGATGGAAAGGGTCGAAATGTACGAACCAGATCCAAGCACGTGTCGACCTGAGATAGAGCACACTATCTCGGCAGAATGACATGCTGGATGTCAGATGTGCCACATGGCCCACGTGGCCGCTGACTGGTCGCCACATAGGATCATTAATTTAGGGTTCCAATCAAATCACCACGTGCTTGCCGTCCAGGACTGCGTCGTCCTCGCCGACGTGGCACTTAGAATCTGGACATACTGTGGACCGAGCTGTGGGTGTGGATCTTCTTTGGTGATCCAGTCTCGACCCTGGCCCATTAACCCTACAAATTCCCATTCCACTCAACAAACTTGTCGCAATATTTCATGGATTCCGATCCCCGAATGCGCGACCCAACACCCGCCGAGGTTCTAGGAAAAAAAAAAAAAAAAAAAAAAAAAAAAACTAACTAACTAACTAACTAATTAACTAAATACAATACAAAACTAACACTTACACCCACGCGCACGGGCGCTTCGTTTGCGCGATCAGAAGTCGTGTTTATTCCGATAAACTTTAAGCTGGATCGGACAATGGTTCTTTTTTCCTCCAGGCTCGTCGCAGCAAACTGAATATACCGTAGTTAGGATTTTGAGTCTTTGCAAACCCTGGTGTTGCGGCAGCAGTGGCGCCCTCTGCTACGAAAGATTGCCGTGAGCAACGTGGCCAGCGGAACGAATAATCCACCGATCTTCGGCACCTTGTTTGACGACTGGAAGTGTACTACAGTCGTCCTGGAACCGCAGTGGAGAGAGAGAGAGAGAGAGAGAGAGAGAGGTTGCTTTGGTGGGAGTAGGCGTTTGCAAGTTGCGGTTGGAATGAGAAGCCTGTAACTTGTACAATCTTGGTCCATCGCATTTGGAAGCACCAGCTGGACTGACGGTAGAAGATTGTTCCAGCGTTTCGAGGTCGGAGAGCAGTAAATTGTAGGCTCATCGCCCGTCACTCTGGTCCAAATGTTCACCGACCATGTCATGTACTTTGTTTTAATGGCTGATTCGCAGCATGCTCATGGAAGATTGCCTTGAATTTCCGCTTCCTTTGTAAAATCCTCAATAAAGATCCTAAAAAATCACCAGATTCTAGTGCCTTAACTCTTGGTAGTTGAGGTAGAAGGTTATGGAAAAGGATTATAGATTCTGGAGAAAGGATTGTCATAGAAAGAATAAATAAACAAACAAATAATGAGCATAAGATGGAACACCAAAGTGATGCTAATCTTTACTGATTCACTATGTAAATGGAATGGAAGAGCTGGAGCGGAAGTCATGTCTAATTATTCATAAATGATTTTTTTTTGTGCCTCTTTTTTTTTAAACCCTAAATTCTTAACCTTGCGCCCCTCCTACCAATATTTTAGGGACTTCCATCAATCGGATGTCAAACAATAACTGCTCTCAAAATGTGAGGCAAGTACCCAACATTTTAGTGCAAAGATATGCATGGATGACAAATCAATGAAGTTAAAAAGGTCAGTGTGCAAGTTGGGTACATGTTTTGAAAAAAGAAAAAATTGGAATACAAGGAAGCTTAGGTATAAAAAAAACGTAGATATGGAACAAAGAGACAAAGAAGTCCTCTAATTGGCCAAACATAAAAACAAGGTAACATAAATGAACAAGAGAATAGATGGATGTTAGTGCATGATATTACACATATTTCTGCTTGTCTATGCTAAAGTTGTAAATCCATATATTGTAATATGATTCAAATTTTGCTCCACAAAAGTAACTGCAAAAACTGCATGTGCATGAGTGCATTTACATATTTTGTTTAAAAATGTTATCATTACAATTGTGAATATTTTTTTGGATGAAGTATTATGACTTTGTAGTATACCAGTTTCTCCATTGGGTGTTGTTCTGGTTTAAAATAACAGACACTGTTCACTTACACTGAAATTAGGATTGTATACTTATTTGTCAAACATGTTCAATAAATTTCAGTAATGATTTTTTAGCATGTTTTTGGGTTGAATAAGCCATTTGTAATTCACTCGTACAATAAAAACAATGTGAATGTTGCTAGTGAATGAGGAAGCAAACTGTGTTAAAACAAAATTGTAAATCTATGTGTGTTTGTAATGAAAAACAAGGTAGATGGATGTGGTTATTTATTTATTCAATTTTAGACGATACATTTAACATTTCAAAACATTTAGAATATTCTTTGTGCAAGTGAATATGTGCATGTTAACCTGACATTCATTCACTCTATTTCATTATTAGTTCATTTCCAATTTTAATAAATTTGATGATTTATTAAGACACCTTAATCCAACACTACACATTCAAATTCAAACAATAACTCATATATTTCTATCTCTCTCTCTCTCTCTCTCTCTCTATATATATATATATATATATATATATTATGCATATTGGATTTGTTCCAAGTTCACTGTCATTGCCTTAAGTTCAACAAATCGTAAAAACTTCTTGATGTTGATGTAATCAATAAAATGTTCTGACTTTTCACAATGTGCATAAACTCAGTAAGTGCTTTATATCCAACCACAAGTTTGGAATTATTTTTTTGTTGAAAATGCCACTTGCTTTTCCTTTTCTTTCTGACACCATGTATACATAAAATCCAGAGCATCTATTGTTTGATCCAATCATTGACAATAACAAGTATGATCAGTATCTCATATCATCTTCATAGTTCTATTTTTTTATATTTTATTTCTGTTGTATTATCTTCATATCATTATATTTTTATAATTTGTGTTTATTTCTGTTGTAACAAATATAACAGAAATAAAAAATAACAATTACAAAAATTGGAATTCGAATAGGTAAACTCCATAGTGTGACTTTGTTGACTTCAATAAAACAGAAACAAAACAAACATACATCTATATTAAAAAGAAAAAAGAACCCAATCATTCATGTTATTCACAATTTGATTAATGTATGGATTTAAAACATATAGTAACAATAGAAGGTGCTATCTATCTATGTATCCAAAAGGAATTTTCAAACCCACAAAGCATAAGTTCGTCCATGACTTGGAATAATCAACTAAAATAAAATAAATCAAAAAGGCATACCATCAGGTTGAGTACAAAGCAGGTCAGTCATGAAGCGAGATAGAATGTCATGGACGTTTGGGCGTGCTCCATAGGCTTCCATGGCTGCCCTCCTTGGGTTCACTTCAGGTCCCAAAGGTTCTTCATCTTCTTCCTCCATATTATAACACAGCCCTCTGCTCAACAAATTATGCAAAACCCTAATTTCTATGATATGCTCCAGTTATTATCACATGTGCTACTTCAACATTTCAATGGTTGAATAGTGCATATTTGGAGCTCAATCCTCATCACCCACTAAGGAATACTGCTTTTTTACACACAAAAAAAGCCCTATCTTAATGTAAAGAATTGGCCTTTCCCAACGGAAAGAAGTGTAACAATAAATTTGCACCGTGAATGGCACTGTCTTGGGGAAGTTGTATTTCAATGACGAGAAATCATCCACTTAAAAAGGTCTGTTCATTCATTGTTTGACACATGTAAAGCTCAGAATCTACGCTTCCTCCTCGTCGGGCACGCTTTACGTGTGCCCTAATTTATTGCCCTCTTCTTCACCACTTCAACATCGTAATGTTGTGACCGAAACTCAGAAGGCTCATGTTCTCCTGTTACCGGTTCGTTGAGTTGAGGTGAAACGGGTGTATTTCGGACACTGTTTTGCATTTGCGAATCGACTCCTGTCGCTGCGTTTGAATTTGTAAGCGGACACTTTGGGCGTTGCGTCTGGCAGGCTGTGCTTGCGTCCTTGCGAGTGTGAAGGGGTTCGTTGTCAACGAAGGGGGTTGAAAAACAGAACAGGGGCTGTCCTCTGTTGCTGCATGCGTGAACTCGCAATTGCAGAAGAGTCGAGCCAGGATTGTGGAAGTGTGACGTTGTGCTCTTGATACGCTGTGGTTTCATCTTACAGAGCATTGCTACTCTGATTTGTCTGTGTTCCTTTCGCACTCAAATTTGTGATGGCGTACATTTGAACCATCATTCTTGTGGTCGGAAATTCTCGAGTATCTGAAGCTGTGCATCGTCGACTGCAGCCCGGGGAACTTTCCATGGTAATCGTGAGGTATTCACTCTACACAAAGTCCTCGTGCCCTATCTCGTTAGATGTGTCTTAAACCACAAGAATGAGGAATTTGTGTCCGTACTTATTGCAAATTCAAAGAACCGATTGCCGAAGTACATCCCGGGATTCATCGTTTTCTGCTATAGCTCATTAAATAGTCAGCAAATGTAACCCAGTTATATTTCGCTGGACCCCGGCAAGCTTTTGGACACTGGTGGTTGCTAGAGGGGTTCGTAGAATTTTAGATGACCCCATTCTCTTTGCTAGTTAATTATATAAAGCTGTACTACCTTTGCCATTCCATGGGCACTTGGTCTAGTGGTATGATTCTCGCTTTGGGTGCGAGAGGTCGCGAGTTCGATTCTCGCAGTGCCCCTCCGGAGTTGGGAGATCGATGTGAGGACAGTCGCTTAAGAGTGTAGTACCCTGGTTTCTAACGTCCCGTCTCTCCTTCGCAGAGAACACTCTGCGCAACATGTACTTTACGGAGTCACAGCGCTCAGATGCTGTTAACAGCTGCCTTTTGCAGTGTGACTTGACTGCCTAAGATTTTTTTTCTTATGAGAGGGCTAAAACTGATCTCTTATTCGCAGTCCATATCACACACAAACAGAGTCCCAACCATGCACAATCCCAGCTACTTGGTGACAGAGTACCAGGACATGAGTGTTCATATTTTGTAAATATTGCAATTCAGTCTGGCGTGCCTGTTGAGTGTAAGTGAATTCTCTTAGTTATTTGCCTGTCATATTCTCCAATGGGTGTCAGCTTCGGTAAGTTAAATACGCCTTCATGGTTCCATTTCTGCTAGTATCTGAACAGAAATGTGGAATGGAATTTAGATCTGAGGATTTAGGGTTGGAATCACCAACTTTTGCACCTACTAGTGATGCAGCTTTGTGGTAGCTGATGACCTTCTGGTGATGCAGCTTTGTGGTAGATGATGACCCTCTGGAAGCTTAGAAAATGGTGCCTTTTGACCTAGTTTAGCTGATGTGTTGGTACCTGGTTTGGGTGCTTCATGGACCCATCACATCCTAAAGTAATGAATCCTGGTGGCAGTGTCTGCAGTGTATTGTTCTGTAAGTTATTTGTACTTGCTTGCTGACAATTGGAGGTAGTAGCCATCTTTGAACCTGGAAATTTTGTTGCACAAAATCTGTGGTGATGGAACTTGTCCACAGTACATAGATTTGTTCACATAATTCCTTCCTGAGTGGCAAATCCAATCTTCAATATAGATACTCCAGAAATGTGACAGACCCACTTGAGTCTTGTGTACTGAAAAGGTATTATATATATATATATATATATTATTATTATTATTATTATTATTTCCAAATCTACACTTTGATTGATTAGTGTGGGGATGGCAGTTTGGAGAGGAAATGATGAAATGCATAGATAAGCCTGGCAGGAAACTATTATGATCCTTACAACCAACATGGGACATAGCTTCTTCAAAATGCAATGATGTCCTGAAACAAAGTTTTACATTTAATTGGAAGGACATAAGGTTCTGTTTGAAAATTTGATCTTCATTCCAGATTGATTCATATGGTTGATGTGTTGATAAGCAAATATTGTGTGTGTGTGTGTGTGCATTTTGTCATGCAGTATTTGAATTTTATGCTGGTTAGGCACAATCACAACATTAATACAATGTGAGTTATTGTACTATTAATTCCAAATTTCTTATTTCAATTTGTGTTTCATTGATAATAGTTGACTCTATGGGAATTCAGGTCTGTGCATAACAAAATGAGTTGTTGTCTTGTATAGTAAAGAAGTAACTTTATGTTTGTCCTTTTTGACAAAATAGTCCCAATTTTGCTTGCAATATCTCAATTGCCATCTATTTTTTAAGTTCATTATGTGAATTTTTGCAATATTGCAGTAGAGAAGAAGGTATATTTCTTCCTTGCCAACAAATGTTATGATCAACTCCTACTTGATCCTTTTATGCAAATGGATAAGAAAAGTTGCAATTTTAAGGAAATGTTCAGCAATCAAATGGATCAGAATTATTATTCAAAAAAAAGAAGAACAAGGAATTCTCTTCTAATTATGGAAATAACAGTTGAAATAACTTTTCATATTGGTTTTCAGTTTACAATAACTTGTTCTAATTGTGATGGCATACTTAAATTCTTGATTATTTTTAAAAACAATTAATGAAATAATAATTCAACAAAACCTTCAGATTGAAAAATTATTATTCACATTTAAGAAATAGAAAGAATATCATAAACCAAGATATTGAGATTAATTTTTTTTTATTTTTTTATTTTTTCTTCTGCATTTTAGCACTTGCATGGGCTTGTTTGTTTATTAGTTTATTTTTCATATTTGTGTGCATGTGTTTTCCATTATTTTAAATATTTATTGTGCAGTAGTATGTTTATGTAAATCTTAGTTACACTGTGATTTATTATTACATTCTATAATATCATTTATCAATAACTGGCTTTAACATATCACACTTAGTGCAAAAATAAGAACCCAATGTTAGTTGTTCTCATTGTAAAGTGGCTATGATATTCAATTACTTAAGGTTAGGTAATGATTCAATATGTATGTATATATATACATATATATATATATATATATACATTCACACAACCACATACATACAACAATGATTCATGTACAGCATCAACTTGCAATGGTTGACAAAACTAGATATCAATATATTGCAATCAATTTCAACACCTTGTATTATTGCTGAGATCAATGCCATTCAGAGTAGGGTAGTGATGGAAAAAAAAATCCCTGCATAAAATAAATAAATAAACAACTAAAACCCAAAATCTAACCATGGTTCATTGAAACCTTCAAAACCAAATCCCAAAAAACTCCTCTCAACTACGACTCCACACACACACACACACATGCTAAATAATATAAATAAATAAATTGAGAGAGATTGAGAGAGAAAGAGGTGGTGGTGCTACTTTTTTCTTTTACTTTTTTCTTTTGTAAAGAAAGTTTGTTGCCGAAAGGGAACCTGGCCAACCACATCCACAATGACATATGGTATGACATATAGTCACCACCACACCACCCAAATGTCCACGAAGTCAAAATGCTTTAAACCATGTCATGCCCTTGAACCAACCCATAGACCTTACTAAACCTGCGCTTGCACAAACCTAAAACTGCCTGTTTTTCCTTTGAAAGATTCCAAATACATTCAAAACCCACCAGTGATCAGCAAACTTTACAAGGATGAAGGGTGTGGTCAGTGTGATGAAAGTGCATGGTTTTGCTCAATCTCTATGACTCGATTGAGAGGTAAAACACAAGAATGCAAAAATTGCTTTGATTTTTTTGATTTCTGATTTTATTTTCTTAATCAATTCAACCATTGCAGCAATTCAAATTTTCTCTTCTCAAGCACATCAGAACCTTATTTCTCCACCCTAAAGAATTTATTTCCATAAAACCCCCCCAAGATAGCTGTAAAAACCTTAAGTTGACAGTTTAAGGCATTCTGAGGTTATGAATGTCCCTAATCTCTTCTCATCTCATCTCACACTGTGCCTTGCTTTACCAGCAATACAAGTTGAAAGTAAGTATGGTGTTGTGGATGGATTAAGGAAGCTGGGGTTCTGATCTGTCCCATTCTTTTTACTCTTATTCTTATTTATTGCTATTATAATATATATATATATATATATATATATATTTGCCTCTCTTCATGGCAGTGCAGTGGTGTTTGAAGGTATTGATTGACACACATCCATCCAAATTGTGTAAAACCTGTAAGTTATACCACATGCAGCAAAAGTGGGTGAGAGATAAAATGCCATTTAATAGATGACAGGGAAGGGACTCTCACTCACTCCCATAGAGCCTGGTTGGCATTTATAGTGGATGCGGAAAGGAGTGCTTCCAAATTCTTCATTCAATTCCATGGCATTCATCCATTCAAACATTCCCAAGCAATAGTTAAATGTGTTTCTAGCATGGAAAAATGGAAAGTTAAGCCTTACTTTGAGATCATCAACGTCATTTTTTTGTGATTCTTATTAATGTTTTCAAAAACCTGTAATATAACCCAAATTTTGGGTTTGTAAATATTCAAATTCTTCAAGTATTTTGAATAAGATGTTGCACAATTTTCATCATTTTAGACTTTCTTTTCTCTGTTGTTTTTTTTTTGGGTTACAAGATTTTCATAATCCACAGTTTACAGGATGTTGCATGACAAGGTCTATATATCCTCGGAAACATATCTATGCAGCAAGAATTTAATATTGTGCCAGATTTCATTGTGGTAAAAGAAGAAATTTTTAAATTTGTAAATTTTATATCTAAAAATATCAATAAAACCATTTCAAACTCATCAGTGTTCAGAATGCTTTTACATACAATGAATTACATGTTTCATGAAGACACCAAATATCACACCCCATCAAATGCACTTAAAGGTTCTACAAGGTCCCAAATGCACTGTTATGCAAGAAATTTCATTGAAAAGAATATTTTCTATCAATTTCATTACAATGTTGTGAATGAAACAATTGACACACACACACTTATATATATACATATATATACACATACATAGAGAGAACTCTCTTCACTTAATAAAGAGGTAATGCAACAAACAAGTTGGTATATGCAGCATAAAACTTTACAGCTTTGTAATAAGAATGTTAAGATT